AAAAAAAAAAAAAAACAGGTGCATTTATCATTTAAATTCAGAAATTGTTAAGACATGAAAATTGTGCTCAGTTTTAACGATATATTTTCTGCTATTAGTTCTTGAATAAAATCTGTTGTTGAAAATAGAATGACTCAATTTATCAACGTACAAACTTTCAAAGCTGTACTTTTAAAATTGGTAAAAGTAAAGACAGTATTTGTACATAAATTTATGTATCAGCTTTTTGCAAAAATAAAACTTTTATGTTGCTACTGACAATAAAATAGCAGTGTTTAGCAGCCATCTAATACATTGAATATTGTCATATTCATAATCATTGCCTTTTTTTATTGATTCTGTCAGAAAACTATTTTAACGCTATTGGAGGGCCAATTTACCTACAATTTTTATTTCAATTTTAACACATTTCGTGAGCCACAGTATACAAAAAAGATGAACTGAAAAAAAGAGAACTTTATTCGGGTTTTTTTTTTTCTTTTGCTGATTTTTAGCAACACTTCAGCACCTTGTTCCTTCATACAAAAAAAAAAAACATGACTAAATATAATATGACTACGCGTAATTATGCGTAATTTTGAGAGAATGTGCACAATGAACAATTGTGAAGCAGAAAAGTGTTAACTGTTTCTCAGACAGCAATTATTTTTAAAATTTTGACGTTTTGAAGAAGAAATGGTGAACAGTTTAGTGATCTTTTACAACTAATTTCTTTAGTCTGTTTCTTCTAGTCCTCAATTATAACCTATGTAAGATGAAAAAATTAAATTGATTTGAACGTTTATTAAGATAAAATTGAGTAATAATTAATAGAAACATCTAGACAGTCAAAATAATTTATGCAAAAAAAAAAAGATTAGGATAATCATATTTATGTTTAACAAGAAAAAAGTACATAAATTTAAGAAAAAAAAAAACAACAGAGATCATAAAATGAAAAACATCTTTACTGTTAGAACAGCACCTTAATTGTCTTCTTTTTTTTTTATTTTCAAATAAGTCACTTGAAAGTTTTGAGTACAGTATTTTACCACATATTATAACAAAATTAAGCACCTTTAATGGGTTTCTGTATTTATAAGCAAAGCGTTTATTGTTATTGTCACAACGAATAGTTCAGCTATCGATGTTTTGAATGCTAGAAGTTTCAGATTGTTTAGCTTCATAAACAGTTAGAAATTGTGGAGCAACATTTGGACTGCTTTCAGCCATTATTTCAATTTGAAGACCTTGTCCATCGTGTACACTGGTCAAATAGAAGGCTAGATGTGCAGCTATATAGAAAAATTCCGGCATTGCAACGTTGAAAGATACT